CCCCATTCATAGAGCATTTTTCACGATTTTATGAATTATTAACCCTTTGAACACGGAGCCATTTTGACATACGGGTGAAATTCGTCTGACCGTGCAGGCAATATAGGACCAAATGTCGGGCACCTTTAGGCGCTCTTAGTAGCCGAAGAGTTAATAGCATATGAAAGGATAAACTATTAATTGATAATAAACACGTATCGATCGTTATTTACTAAACATATAAAAAATGCACGTCATAGAATAATTTTAATTGCATCATTGATGCATTTTTTATGTTGGTAAATCTTGTAACGTGTACGTTTCACACTTCGATTTAATAATCGCCATTCTTTTTTGAACAAAGTACTAACGGTAGTAAATTGCTCTGTCGAAGTCGTTACCGTTACAAAGATCACAGAGTAAAGTACAGAGTACGACATTGCAGAATTTTACTAAAACGAGAATGCGTGACATATGCGTTGCACTTCTCTCAGAATACTCGTAAAGTTCGAAAGCGAACTTTGGGACGTATCGAGCCAAGAGTCTATTTAGAGGTAATACGAAAAGGATGATACTTGAAATAAAAGCGGTTTCCACTTATCCTCGGATAAGGACATAAGAGGGTTTCGTGGGAAGGAACAAATGCGCATACATACGGAAGGAGGGAGAATCTCTCGAGATACCGCGACCGAGAATCTTTTCATCTCCATGAGATACAACTCTCTGAGAAAGAATACAACTCTCTGACGAAATTCATAAATGTCAACGCAAAACTTCACATTTGATTAAAACGTGAAACCTCAAAGCTCCAAGGTATTCCTTGGCTGTGGCCGCATTCCTTTAGAGCACTGCAATGCAGCACAAAAATCCCAGGGCAAAGTGAATCTTTTTAACAACTTATCGAACCGTCATTAACCAAGAATTTGTTGAAACTAAAAAAAATATGAAGCCTTGCGTCCCGCAACAGCAAAAACCAATAGATTTTTCCTCAATTATCAAAAAGGGAAATGCATTTCGTAGAACCTCGGCAACATTGCTCGCCGTTTCCGGAGCAGATATAACAACTTTAACACACAATGATGGATGGAAATCGAGCAATGTTGCAGAGGGATACATTGAGGAGTCGATTCAAAACAAGGTTAAAATCAGCAACATTTTATCGTTTTCGATAAATGTTAACTCCAGGACAAACATCCGAAAAATCAGACTTTGGAAGCCCACCATCTAAACACCAAAAAGTTGATTATTTATCAAATCCTGAACCGTCGACCTCAACAAGAACTTTGTCAAATGATGAAACTATGATTTTCAATAATTGCACTGTCGAAATACATAACTATAAGAATTAATGAAATTAAAACTGTCATTGTTTGGAAAAATTATAATTTTCTTTTTTATTCATTATAATTTTTCGCTCGTGTTTGTCTCATTCGCCTACGGTTAACGGATGCGAGCTTACGACTCGTATCGCAAGTTCACGCTGGGTAAAAAGACCCACTTTACCTCCTTGGTACACAATATACCATTCTGTTACTTTAAGAGTGAACGGTGAATTCATATCATTCATATGAACTTATATTGTATGGAAGCTCTTAAATTGTTTTCGTGAAAATATTGAGATCCCTTGTTTTTTTTCTTCGATGAAACGTTTCTTATTGTTCCCTTCTTTGATGGATTGGCGAGACTAACTTCTTTCAAGCTGGAAATACCTCCCATGTTTAGTTATGAATTGTTCAGCTTTTTTCAGGGATTCTTTTCTAAATGCCGGAATGTAATTGACGATTATTCGTGGCGGTTAGATTCCCTTCGACCACCAAAATGGCGGAAGTCATTATCTACTGGACGACTTCTTCCGCGGCAAAAGGGAAACGCCAAGGAACCATTAAAATATTCCGGTAATTAACATAACGTAACAAGAAAAGAAGAATTTCGATCGTGATCGATTAGGAAAGCTGTGCTACAGGGCTAACCTGTCTCGGCCAAGTTTTTTAATTAAAGTTGTTGGGCACAGTCGTCGGGCGAATTTTAATGGGCACTTTCGCGACATCTGATCGCCGACGAGTGAATTTGCTCGATAGTCGCGTCTGGTCGTTCGGAAAAGTCAAAGGGAGATAAAAATTAAGTTCCCCAGAAAACACGACTTTTACGAATAGCTTCAACTCCTTCAAAACACGACTTTTATAATCTACCAATAAAGCATCGGAAAGCTTCAAATTCTTCTTTTCTTTTTCTTGTCATTTCATAACTTTCATGAACGACGTAAAGAAAGAACTAAAAAATCATTATACCTGTAAACCACATCAACTTATTTATTTCTGTATTAACATCCCTTTAACAAGGAAGGTATCATCCCAGATAGATCTCTCCGATTTGATTTCTTTTATGATATGTTATAGTAGACTAAAAACTAAGCGACATAAAATTTTTTTTATCTGCCATTAAACACTTTAAGGGGGTGAAACCACCATCCAAAGTAAGACATGTGAAGGGGCGATTTGGCAGTTTCATCCACAAGAACATAATATTTTTTAACCAATCCCCCTGGAAAAGCTTTCTCATAACGAGAAATGAAAAATACAATTTTCTCAATTAAAGAAAAAAAATTAAGGGGTAAGCCACCTCTAAATATGATTACGTTTATGCAAAAAATGGTCAAATTTAAGTCTAAAAATATGAAAAAAAATACATACGGCGCACGAACACGAAGGAAATACGACGTGTTTTTGGAGTTTTCCGAAAAAAAATATTTACTGGGGTAACTACCCCCGAACGCTGTTTATCTTGCGTGTATGCAAACAATGGCAAAATTCAAGCCTAAAAATCTGAAAAAAATATATGTTGCGTACGAACACGAAGGAAATACGTGTCTTTGGATTTTCCCGAAAAAAAAAATATTGACCGGGGTAACCACCCCCGAACGCTATTTATCTTGCGTGTACAATAATTTGTCATTTTTATGAACAAAAGTTATTAGGGCGGTTTTTACTGTAGATACACGTTTCAAAGGTGTTTTTAAGGAATCAATTTTGTACAATCTATTGCACAAACTATTGAACCTACGAGGCAGACGTATCGCACATATATTTTGTAATATGTAAACTAACAACACCGTTTTACAGGGTATTTTCGACAAATGTTTAAGTTATACGCCGATGTAAATGTCATCTCGTAAAATTCTAGTCTAATCGGGCGCATGAATTGCGCTCGTCCTAGTCGTTCGAAACAAAAAAAAAATTCCTAATCGACATGAGTGTATTTATGCAGCTGTTTAAAAGTTGTTTAAAAGTTGGTTCAATGTTTTTGTAAAATTTTCAATTAAAACAAGGGGATGCAGGAGATGTGGTCAAACTATCCATATAATTCTAATTCGGCTATACGTACCTATTCTCTTAATATGTGTGTAATGTTATAAGTCAATCACCCCAATAATTTTTGAGAAAAATAGGAGCCTGATTTCAAAAATCAATTATTATACTGCACTCCATATTGTTCAAGGAATCATCTACAACGAGGTAAACAAAATTATGATCTAAAAGAACACGTAATTTCATGTATGTTTAATTAACAGGTTGCAGCTCGAATTCGATGGTCGAGATGTAGCCTAAAATCACGGTGAAGGATTTAAACAACATACCGCCCGTTGTTCAAAGAATCTACAGCGAGTCAAGACATTTCATGTCAAACCAATTTCATGTAATTTGTTCCCTAGGGCGCGTGGGTAACCCATATACAGATATTATATTATACATCATGATTGAAGTATTTCATGTTTTTGGCTCTTACAACCAAAATATCAAATAACCTGGACGGAAATTCCGTCATGGGTTACCGATGATCCATCCTATGAAAAAGTACTTATGAAATAGCTGCCAACCCGTAAAAAGGATACACAGCTACAGTTTTTTTAAACTTACGATTTGTAAAGTCATCCTTTCTGCAGTTGTACATTATATCCTTTATAGGAACTGGTTCAGAACTTTCTAGGAACCAATTTCATCAGCTCATGTGGCGATGTTTAAGAGGATGCGAAAGTGGCATTTGAGGAATCAATCATGAGAACATTCTCCGAATTGGGTGTATCACTTTGTTTCAAATTTTACCACGTAAATGAGGAGATTCTAAGGTACGTCCTGAGACTTGCGAAATGTCAGTTTTTACCACAAAAAGTTAAAAATACTTATAACCAAATTATCTTAACCCTTTCGTTACCTTGGACGAGATATCTCGCGACCCAATACTGGCCGATTAACGCTTTTGACGAGATATCTCGCGACCCGATACTGGCCGATCAACGCTTTTGACGAGATATCTCGCGATTCGGTAGTAGCGGATTAACGCTTTTGACGATAATCTAGCTTCCTAGCAGCAATATTTTGACATTCTAGATGAATATATTTTATAACTAATTCTATTCGTATAGCTAAAAGGAAGAAATAAATACAGTTTTTATTAATTTAATGAAATTATTTTTATTTACTTTTTCCGTGGTATAATTCAAAACATGGTTGGAAAATATTAGTGCTAGGAAGCTAGATTATCGTCAAAAGCGTTAATCCGCTACTACCGGATCGCGAGATATCTCGTCAAAAGCGTTGATCAGCTACTACCGGGTCGCGAGATATCTCGTCAAAAGCGTTGATCGGCCAGTATCGGGTCGCGAGATATCTCGTCAAAAGCGTTAATCGGCCAGTATTGGGTCGCGAGATATCTCGTCCAAGGTAACGAAAGGGTTAAAATTGAAATTTCAGGAGCGTTAGGACCTCTCTTATAGACTCCATGTTGACATTGTAAAGTTTGAAACGATTCGCTGGATCGAATTCGGAGAAAAGTTTCATAAACGAAATCCCTTTGGCGCCACTTCCACATCACCTTAATGCTATTTTTTTCAATATACCCTAAACAATGATAATTCAAGAGAACGTCATTTCGTGCGGGCGTAATAACAACTTGTAGCTTGAGTTTGGAGGATAGATGTAAACTAAAATCGTGGCGAGAAATTGGAAAAACGAGCGTTTACTCACATATGATGGCCTGCACCTTGGCCCTGTCGAGAGCGGGCTTGACCGGACGTTCCGTCGCGGTTCCGGCACGGCTCCAGCGTTGACCCGTAACGGAACACGTCGCCAGTTCCGTCGGACTAAACAAGATGGCCGCCAACCCCCTGGTCAACTTCCGATAGTCGCTCCACTTTACCGCTCTCAACTGCTCCTCGCAGACGGCTATGCCCTCCCCCAAGTGAACCTGCAACCAAGTGAGCCGTTTTGCATGCGAATTTTCGGCCTGCCGTCGACGCGTACTACCTACGACGCATTACTATTTAGCCGATGGAACACGTGAACGAAACAGTCAACGAACGTTCCCTGAGGCAAACAATTTATTCGAATATAACTAACCTGCACGCTACCACTTTGGTTTGGTCGAGGTAATTGCACGACATGAAACCTGTCATTGTCGCTAACAGGAAGGTATTCAAAAGGTAAAAGACTTAACCTCAAATTTTGTTACTATAAGATGTATCAATCATTTCAGTGAACAGTTTCGGATAAGGCAAGTCGAAACGGCCCACACGTTCGTGATCTGCTTATTTCTTGAAACGGTACAATTTCATGATTTGATTTCTCTGACTGGTTGAGAATAATTCAGTGATGTCTCTATTTCTGCAAGACAAGTAGTTCCGATTAGCCAAGATCCAAAGCCCGTAAACCCGACATCTTTACGTCGAATAGTTTCGGATTAAAAAGTCAAAACTACTTAGATGTTCATATTCTGCTAATTTCCTTGATTAGACGGTAGCATTTAACACTAGGTTTACGAGACCCGTCAATTTGACGGAATTCAAACTTCAAAAAGAAATACCGAAGAAACCATAGCATTAATTTTAACCATTTTTCTATCGGAAATTAATCATTTCATCCAAAGAATTTGTACACACAATTATTTTTTCCTAAGCCTTCTAATTATTAAAATCCGTATGTAGTATACCTATCTCTACGAAACCCATCAAATTGACGAACTAGCTAATTTTATAAACAATCCATATATATTTGCTTCGTTGCAGTGAGTGTAAGGTGAAGATGAGAGTGAAAGTTTGCATTGAAAGTGGAGAAACAGAAGGATCTTCGGATAGTGAAGAGGAAAACTTCTTGAAAGGGTGTCGTAGCAAGAAAAGGATGCGCATTCTTTCTAGTTCTGACTCCGAGGATGAGAGGACGAGCATTCCAATCATTTCCGTGATAATTTTTAAAAAAGGACTTATTACTTATTAATAATTTATTTAAACGTAAAGCCTAGGGTTGTTTAATACAGACTTAATTTGAATAAATCGATTTTTTAAAGAAAATGCGTGTTTTCGTTTACCCGTCAATTTGACGGGTGCTCGTAGAAACAGGTATATAAAAAGCGCCCGTAAACCTAGTGTTAAACGGTGCAAATCTCGATCCCAAGTTCAATTAGTCACCCGGAATTAACTACGCCATTCATCATTCATATCCATAAAACAAATGGTTGCAATTAGCCAAAACTTCAAATACGTAAACTCAACAGTTCTATATCAAATTGTTTTGAATAAATGAAACTCGAAGGAAAATAATTTCAAGGTGTGCTCATTTTTTGTCTAAAAGTCCATTCCAAGATCACTTAGTCACACGGAATTAACGACGTCCATCATCGGTATCCACTAAACGAATAGTTGCGATTAGCCAAAACTTCACATACGTAAACTCAACAGATCTACGTAAAATAGTTTTGAATTAACAAACTCGAAGAAATATAATTTCAAAGTCTGCTCATCTTTTTGCCCAAAAGAAGGAACTTAAACGGTACAAGTCTCCATCCCAAGATCATTTAGTCACGCGGAATTAACTACATCATCCATCATTCTTATCCCTAAGACAAATAGTTGCGATTAGCCAGGTCCCCGGGTCCTTGAAGCGCACTTTTTTGTGGCGAATAGAATGAACAAAGTCCGAACACTGCAAGTTCATGACCCGCTAACGTGACCGACTAGAAGACGTAGGTGGGTAGGTAGATAAACGACGTAAACGTTGATGGAGGGGACCTGGGCCGGGTAGAGAGTGTACAGACCCTGCTGTAACGAGCACAGGAGGCTCGGGCTAATCGGTCGAGGTGCAGATAGGATAATCGGCCATTAGGCGGTGTAATTAATAACCGCAGTGACACAAGGCAAGGTGTCGCGAGGTTCCAGTCGATATATCATTCGTAGTGGTTAAGTGCCACGCGGTTACATCCACCGACGTGAATCTCGGATGATGAAGGTCGCTCGAGGCTCGGGGGATGAAAAGAACCCCGGTTGACTGCGGGGGGTCGTGTCGGCCCGGAAGGAAGAGCCGGCGGGTCGTTAGTTTCACGATGAAGGAAAAAGATGGCGACCAGGAAAGAGGGATAAAGGCGTGAGGGAAATGAAGACCGACCAAAGGACCGCGAAGAATGACGAGAATGTTGAAATCGGAGCTCACGTTAGGAACGAGGATCCCGAATGGCCTAAATCCTGGCGAACCTTAGAATTTCTGCACGCTTAAATTTAAAGTGACGTGAAAGTGGCGTCAAAGAGTTCTCGTTCGTGAAACTTTTCTCCAAACTGGGTCCACCGAATCGATTCGAACTTTAGAATATAAATATGGAGGCTACAAGGAAGGTCCTGACATTCACGAAATATCAATTTTTTTTTAAGTTTTATGAAAAAGGACATTTCATGTGTTTCAGAACCTTCCATATAGCCTCTATCTACATTGACGTTGTAAAGTTTGAAATGATTGAACGCACCCAGTTCGGAGAAAAGCGTCATGAACGATTGACTCTTTAGATGTCACTTTCACATCCCCTTAAGAAAATAAACAAAAGTGGTTGGGTTACCACTGCAGGGGGGAATTAGAAAACCAACATTACGGAGAGTGAAATTTTAAATACGAAAGGACACCTCTTACAATTGGATATGTTTGTAAAGAGGCAAATGTAGAAATGAGCTGTGATTTTTTACGAGGGCCAAGACGTAAACGTAGAAATTATTTCACGCACCGGTAGAATATTAGAAGCCATCTTAACCCTGCGACGTAATTATTTGCGTACTTAGATTCTTGCTTTTCTTGGGCATCCGCCAAGGAAACACGGCACGAGATTGCGTTTAATCGAAAATTCCTGTAAATCACGACTAGCGAGCTTCACCATCCCTCGGCCAACCTAACGTGCCGAGGAACCCGCTATCCCCTCGCCAGGAAGGTAGAATACAAAACATCAAGCTACCATCCATTGCCCGGCATCCTGTTTTCGTCACTCGGGAAGACAAGGGGTGCAAAGTGGCCGAAGAGATGTCAGGGCGAGAGGAGACGCCTTGAGAATTTTAAAGCGACAGGGGGCTAATTCGGTCCAGGTTCGAAGAGGAATGCTCAGAAGGGGCTTCGAAAATGATGGACCATCCCTCCGCATTTAACATTCAAAGCGTGCCCATGATAAGGATCATCAAAACAACATTCATTATGAATTCCATGAAACCATACAAATTTTGTTATTCAGAAAATAGTATCCAACACAATTAGATATTGAAAAATCTCGCCTTGAGAATTTTAAAGTGACAGGGGGCAAATTCGGTCCAGGTTCGAAGAGGAATGCTCAGAAGGGGCTTCGAAAATGATGGACCATCCCTCCGCACTTAACATTCAAGGCGTGCCCATAATAAGGATCATCAAAACAAAATTCATTACGAATTCCATGAAACCATATAAATTTTGTTATTTAGAAAATAGTATCCAACACAATCAGATATTGAAAAATCTCGCCTTGAGAATTTTAAAGCGACAGGGGGCAAATTTGGTCCAAGTTTGAAGAGGAATGCTCAGAAGGGTCTTCGAAAATAATGGACCATCCCTCCGCACTTAACATTCAGCGCGTGCCCATGATAAGGATAATCAAAACAACATTCATTATGAATTCCATGAAACCATACAAATTTTGTTATTCAGAAAATAATATCCAACACAATTAGATATTGAAAAATCTCGCCTTGAGAATTTTAAAGCGACAGGGAGCAAATTCGGTCCAGGTTCGAAGAGGAATGCTCAGAAGGGGCTTCGAAAATGATGGACCATCCCTCCGCACTTAATATTCAACGCGTGTCCATGATAAGGATAATCAAACCAACATTCATTATGAATTCCATGAAACCATATCAATTTGGTTATTCAGAAAATAGTATCCAACACAATTAGATATTGAAAAATCTCGCCTTGAGAATTTTAAAGCGACAGGGGGCAAATTCGGTCCAGGTTCGAAGAGGAATGCTCAGAAGGGACTTCGAAAATGATGGACCATCCCTCCGCACTTAACATTCAACGCGCGCCCATGATAAGGATAATCAAACCAACATTCATTATGAATTCCATGATACCATATAAATTTGGTTATTCAGAAAATAGTATCCAACACAATTAGATATTGAAAAATCTCAGGGAAATTCGGTCTACCAATTAAATATGAGATGTGAATGTTATTTTTATTATACGGTAGTACTTCAGGAGAGAAGATCCATCCTCAGTGATAAATTATATCGGTCCGACAGTTCCTGCATAATTTGTTCATTTGCAACATTTATTCATTTAGACCATGGCTTCGCGGAAAGAAGACCCAGGGTAGTTCCTGCACAAGTGCTGCCAAGTCTAATCGCAATGAACGTTCGATAAGCATTTCGAAATACTTCTAGCTGGTCGTTGCTCCCCATTAGGAAGAATACCCTGAAATAGATGCACCTACGACGAAAAATTCTAGGAACTGTTTTCCCGACGAAACTCTGTAAATAGATTCTGCACATACGGCCGACGTTGCGAAAAACATCCTGAAAGGTCCGCACGCGAGCTCGTCCTGTAGGTGTTCATGTCTCATCACGAGGAAGATAACACCGCCCACGAGGGAAAAATAAGAAAGTTCGTCTGGACACGAAAACATCGACTAGGAAGTAGCAACTTGATAGTTTACCGTAGAGTACTGTTTGCCAGAAAAGATCGTGTGTCGCTCGAAAAAAGATATCATATTTTCTTTCTCTAAGTTGATCCCTTTTAATTTCACTTTTTGTTCCTCTATTGTCCTGGAACGTACGATACAAGATTTTGAAATTCCAATAATTCTGGAGTCATTTTTTTTATAGGCAATTAACCTCCAGTCGTTCTTTGCATGCTTATTAAAAAGAATCGCTAGAGACGTCGGACTTTTCTGCTGAATCGCTTGAATTTCTA